AGTCAGCACATTGACGGAATGTTCTATAGATAATGGGCCCCGGACAAACAGAGGATTGAGTCAGGAACTGTATATCATTACTTTATGGGCACAAAGGAAACTAGGGGAATAGTTGACTTCAGTGAAGTGGAATTTATGTCTAGTCCACTTTACTGCCTTATTCTAAGATGGAGTCAAATTTTAAAATGGAGTTATTTAGGCCTCACAGTTCTTTGGCTTAAAATGAACCCAGGCTGGTCCAGCCTGCCTTAGTCAGAAGCTTCCCTCCTCCTCCAAAGGTAGACTTGTCTGCAGCAGTCTTAAGGTCATTGTATTTTTATCCTTGATGAAATTCTGGGCTTTGATTTCTTTGTTTCAACCATGATGAAAAGCTGCTTGTTCACTCCATTACGCGCCTACAGAATGGATGCTGAAATAAAGAAATGACACCTTAGCAGCAGAGGCCCCGGCCCAGTCCCCTCCCACGCTGCATTTCAGATGATGATTCCAGCTGACATGGGGCAGCTGTTACAGGAGAGGTTTTCACCTGCCCTCCCAACCCCCATGATTTGCCCCCGGCCCTCCCTCATCCCCTGGGGAACAACATCTCTTTTTTTTGTTTCAGGCCACAGCAGTGTTTAGCAGGAATGGGCAGCCATGCCTTGTTTGAGCTGTGATCTAACACCAGCTGACAGGTGGGTTTCGGGGGTGTCTCTGGGGCCGTGGCCTGTTTAGTTGATTTACCACTCTAAACTCAATTACAGGAGACTTTCACACTCCCCAGGCAACTCCAGGCCCTTTTTGATAAAAACTCTGGTGAGTAAATAAGTCATGATGGTGATAGGAGCCTGCCATTTAATATTCATTGAAGTACACATGTTTGGAAATTGGAAACAGAGTTTAATCCATTTTCATATTTATATCAACATGCAGCTTTAAAAAGGATCCATCCTTTTCTTCAGCAATCTGGCCAATTTCTCTTTTGGGAAGATAAAATGGACACATATTTTTTTTTTAAATTATAAATGTCTGAAGTTATATTTGTTCAAGTGCGAGTTTCAGATCTAACAATTTGCACTGGAGAATTGATGCTTTCATTTCTTTTTGAACTCATAGAAGAGTAACAGGTAAATCAAAACTGTTGTCATCTCTTGCAGTGGAATTTTTGGCTTTAACTTTGCAGGAGAAGCTCAGTGAAAAGGAGAGGTCAGCGAATATAAAGACTTCAACCTCAGGATCTTACAATTTAGGAGACTGTTTCATAGCCGTCTAAAGACACGCAGAAGCATCTCTTTCTGAATAAAGGTAAGGTTCACGAAACAACAAGTGTTCATACTTAACCAAGTTACAGGGCTCTTCAGCGAGAGAGCCATGGAGGCTGGGGGGACGTGCTGACACAGTGGAGGATTTGGGACACTGTTGTCTCTCCCCAACCTTTCTACTTTTTTTTTTTTTTTTTTTAATGCGGATGAATGTTTAAGTATGGTGCTGTGGTGGAAGGCATCTGTTTTAATAATGCAACACTTGGCTTCCTTAGGGGACCACAGTTGATTTGGAAACTGAATATGGTGCACTCTAAATTCTCATCCCCAAGGAAAGCTAACTAACTGATAAGTGCCATGAGCTAGCATGGGGACTCATTCTGTCAAATCAACTTGCTGGAAAGGCCCCATGCAGAACCTTCTCCAGTCTCTGGGAGTTAATTTGAGCAGACATTTGTGACATTAGACAGAGCAGCAGGCCTGGCATGAAGGAAAAGTTCACCATCCACTGACATGGTAGTCTTTAGATGACAAGGATAAAGAAACCAGTGCAAATTTGTTAATGTAACAAGTTAGTAAAGTATGCTTTAAGAAAAAAAAAAAAGAGCTACTCTATGGGGAAAGAGGATCAAAAGAAAAAGCAGGACTAGTAGAAATTGAAAGCTACCTGGGGCTTTCTTTACGTTTTGGGCCATTGCTTTTTCTCGTAGTTCTTCTAGGCTGGATTATCTTCTGTTAAATGAATAAGTCTAAAATTTGTCATCCCACAAATCGCTGCTGTACCTAAAACTAAATAAAAGAAAAAGGAGGAAAGGAAAAGGAATGAAGACAAAAGACAATTCTCACAGCTTTTGCTTCACTGGATAAAATAACATCTTTCCTATGTCAAATGGTTGATGACCTGATTGTTTCTCAGTGAGAATTCTTATCTGTCTAATCCTGATGCACATAAACTGAAGGAACACGGAAGTGGTTATTACCTAGGAAGAGATATATGGTGGAAAGAGGTTGTTATTATGTCTGTGTCTGTCTTCCTTCGCTCTAACAGGACACTTGAAAATGAGTAATCTACAAAGAATGGAGATTTATTTTAGCTTATGGTTCTAGAGACTGGGAAGTCTCAGGGCATGGTGCCAGATCCCAGCTTTAAAATATTAAGAGCATATAGAAAAATGTGATTGTTTTGAATATGTCTGATTCAGATAAGTAGTTCTGCTAGGTTTTTCTCCCTTGATTGAGTCAATGTATTCAAATGATAATTTGGTGTTGCACATTTGTCCTAGATTTGAATTAAGGAAAAGTATGCTATACATTTGAGTATGATGTACTGAATCAGCTCTTCCCTGGAAGCTAAGAGAACAAAGGGGCTGGGCAGAGACAACCTCCTTTCCTGCCTCTGCCACTTCTTACAGTAGTTTGTGATTTGGGGAAAGTTGTCCAATAAAAATATCTACTGCATGGGATTGTTTTACAAAAGGCTGCTTCATGGGCTCAGTGGCGCTATGCCTGCCTGGCAAGCGCAAGGTTCTGAGTTCAATCCCTGGAACCGGGGCGGGGGGGGGGGCTGTCTCATAAGATTAGTATAACCTAGTTAATCCATGTGAAATGACTGGGATATACTTTAGCCATGATTATTATTTAATGAAACTAAATGTGCTCCCATAGGCTCTTTTTCTTTTCCTTCTTTCTCTCTCTCATGATCCTTCTTTTCTCTTTCTTTCTTTCTTTCCTTCCTTCCTTCCTTCTTTTCTTCTCTTCTCTTTCTTTCTTTCTTTCTCTCTTTCTTTCTTTCCTTTTTCTTTTTTGTCAGTACCAAAGATTGAACCAAGGGCTTTCTCACTGAGCTGCACCACCAGCCCTTTTTATTTTATTTTTTCTTTTGAGAGAGGGTCTTACTAAATAACTCAGACTTAGATTTGTGATCCTCCTGGGATCATATGCCTCCATGCCTGGCTACTGTAAATTCTTAATGATTATTACTAAAAAAAAGGTTCTTTGGTTAAAAAAAAAAGTTGAAGAATCAGGTTTTAACACAATTTGTTGGAACTATAGTGTTTCTCTGAGTCTTCACTATGTAAATGTGTATTATGAATATCCAGACAAGAGTTTACTTTCTAATGTTTGATGTAGAAACTGTTTATTGCAATCAGTGTCCTGTCCTAGTGAAGGTACAACAGGGCCTCAAATTCTTGGCTTAGAAGTTAGAAAACTTTTTGAGTCATGGTACCTGAACCATGAAGACCATATATTGAAACATAAGCATTGCTTAATACACAGCACTGAGAGGTCTTACTAAAAACACTCATTTTAAAACAGCATTTTGGAAGCCAGGCATGGTGGTACATGTCTGTAATCCCAGCAATAGAGAGGCTGAGGCAGAAGGATCACCATGAGTTCAGGACCAGCCTGGGCTATATAGTGAGTTCAAACCCTGCCTGAACTTCATAGTGAGGCCTTGTCTCAAAAAAACAAAAATAAATAAATAAATAAAATTGTGTTAATTGAGACTGGCAGGAAACTGAATAATATGTGGTTAAAACACATATGCTAGAATCAGACAGATGTGAGCTTGAATTTGTCAAAGCAAGTTATTTAATATCTGTAAAGTTCAGCATCTTCAGTTGTACAATGGGGCAATAGTGATAATTTACCTCCTAGGTCTGCTGTATGAATTAAATGAGGCTGTTCTTGGCTCTGCTAGCTATTCCAGATGTATCTATCTCAACAAAAGGGCTAATGTCTGTCAATCACTCCACTCATGCAGAGCTCTTGGTCCTATAAGGTTATTGTAGGAAAAAAAATAGAAGGGAAATAAACATCTGTGGGTTGTAGAGGATGCTCTGGGCTTGACTGAGTAGTTCATGAACACATAGGACATATTTATCAAGGTAACCACACCTCTCTGTGCCCAGTTTTTTTGTCTGAAAACAAACAAAGCAGCACCCTAGGGGCTTAGTCTGAGGGTCATTGTGAGTATCAGCAATGTGCATGTACATGTGACTTGCTCAGACTATGAAGGCCCATAACTTTTCCAAAATATAAATTGTGCTTACCATAGTCCAGGCCGTATAATATGCAATAGCTCATTTTAATCCTATGAGGTGGGTTTTCTTATACTTATTTTACAGATGAGGAAATGAGGCTCAGGGAGGCAACATACTGCTGATTTCCTGCAAGATCTCACAGCTAATAAATGATAAAGCCATGTGTTGACTCTAGGTCTGTCTCACTTCAAATCTCCTAGAAATACTGTGTTTTAAATAATAATAGAAAAACGGATTTTAAATTGAAACTAATATTGGCTACATATCATTTATCTGTCTTACACCTTTTCGATGTAAAAATGCTTAACTTGGTGTTATATCTGGTTGTCCTCCCCCAAAACAACGTCCTGTGCTCAAAGGTGGAACTTTTGAAGGGTGATCGGATCATGGGGACTCGATAGCTAAATGTAACTTTAAGAGGTGGGGGGGCCTGGTGGAAAGAGGCGGGTCACGGCGGGAATGACCTGGGAGGGTGGGTCTCCCTCCCTGGATCCTCCCTTCACTCTCTGTTTCCTGGCTGCCATGACATGAGCAGCTTTCCTCCGCCAGACCCTTCCACTCTACATTCCTGACTATAGACTGAAAACATGAACCAAAATAAACCTCTCCTCCTTTAAGTTGTGGGTGCTGGATATTTTGTGCCAGTAAAGAGGAAAGTGACTGAGACACTTGGACAGCAGCCATCAGTTAAATGAATAAAGATGCAGTATTATGTAGAAAATAGAATAGACAAGGTAAGATCCAGTCTCTTAATTGAATGATTACTTATGGACACTGGCTCATTTATTTTCCCTGTGACCATGTATACTTGCTGTGACTGGCACAATTTGCGGACACCAACCGGAGAAATCCCAGTCACCTGTATGAATTGATCTCTCCTTCCTGCTGTTTCTGCATGGAGAATTGACAGCACAGCGAGCAGCTTCATGGACAGAAGCAGAGCAGGTTCTGTCAGAGAGGGAAAATCCATATTAATGATATGCTATAAAACACTTTTTGTTAGTTACATATATTCCTTTACTTTTATCTCCCAAGAATAGCTCAGTTGTCAAAGCATTTCCAAGATTTCCATAGATTCAGCAAATACTGTGAGATCGAATTATTGCCCTTAGAGAAGCTACAATTAAAACACATTAATCTTTGTAACAAAAGCTCCTTATTGAGGCTGACAAAGATGGTGAAATCTGACGAATAATTAGTCTGGTTAATCTTTTAAAAGTGAATAAAACTGCTAACAAGTTAAATCATTGTGATTTTCAAAGTAAGCCTCTAGGGTGAGCAAAGGCTGGGGATATTATCTTCATTTTAAGAAGATATTTTCTTTCTCTTTCTCCTCTCTGGGCTTGTACTGGATGGAGGCCCTGTGGTTAGAACAGTGGGACTCTGAGAACCAGCTGGGAGAATGTGGCCATTGAAGGTGTAAGGACACGTTCTTTGCTTTTTCCCCCAGTGTTTTTCCAGTGTGTCTAAGAGAGGCATACAGTGGCTGAAAGAGGGGCTAGACATGACCTTTAAATCTGATCCAGAACTAATAGGGCACCCGCCTACCAGCCATTCTCAATAATCCCAAGTGGATCAATCCCTCCATCATGTGGTTCTAATGTCCTCCCCATTGTAAACCAACCGAGCATAACAATAGGGCCTGTCTTGGATAATTTCCCCTTATTTTTATCCCCTCTCCAGGCACATGGTTTATTTTTTCCAAACAGCACCTCTCCTTTTTGCATTTCAATTTCTATTGAAGAAATGTGCCATATTCTGAAATAGAAGGAGATGTGCAAATATGAACTGATAAACCGTGGGAAGTGGATGGGAAAGGACAATAATCATTTTGGCTGGAGTTTTAGCCTCAGCAGGACCTCCACAACTTTTGGGGGTTACACAGTAGATGTTGTGCTGCGCCATCATTGGAATAAAGGTCCTATTCTACTGCAGCTATTGGGGGTTGGCCCTCAGCTGTTCACCCCTTGAGTGAAGAAATGTGCCTTCCTCAAAACCATACTTCTGGGGGGGAGGGGGGCTGGCACTGTTGACTGGTGAGAGGGCATCAAGCCTGGCCCAACTTGGGACAGCTTGGGGGGGTCATCCTGGTGTCAGAGTTCTGTGGCGTTGCTGAGGTCTTCATCGGGAGAGCAGTGGAACTTAACCTCTTCCTCCACCCAACCCTAATTTCTTCACTGCCTTTGTAGTTAGTGTTCATGAGAGCGCTCTATAATAAATAAATGGATTGCTTAACTTCATCTCAGGCCCTGCTCTCTGGAGGCCCCAACCTATGACAGGAGAAGTCCCACTTCTATGTTTTTAATTAAAAATGTTTTTATTAGTACATGTTTGCAGTGCGTAATGATTACTTTCATCTTGGGGAGTAGGTACACGTACATAACACATCTTAATTACTTTTACTTCTTCCTCTGTCCCACTTATTCTAGCTCTAGATCTCCTTCCCATTTGCAAAAGATCTATCTTCCTGTTTCCTATTAGATTTTATTTTGTTTTTTATTTATAATTTGAGTTTCTCGTGTGAGAGAAACTATGCAATATTTAAGCTTGTGTGTCTGATTTATTTTACTTAACGTATTATGGTCTTAAAGTGCATCCATTTTCCTACAAATGACTCAAATTTATCCTTTTCTTGTAGAAAACTAGTACTCCATTATATATAAATATGACATTTTCTTTATCCATTCTTCTGTTATGGACATATAGGCCACTTCTACGATTTACCTTTTTATGAGTTGTACTGCTCTAAATATGAATATGCATATATCACTATAATTTGATGTCTTTAACTCTTTGGGGAAGATACCTAGAAGGGGAATATCTGGGTCAAATGGAATTTCTATTCTGTTTTTTGAGGAACCTCCATACTGATTTCCATAGTAGTTGTATGAGATCTCACTTCTGAGGAAAAGGTCTTTGGTGACTAGTGACCCGGCAGAAGCAGGTGGGGAAAATGAGTTTCCCAGCTTAGCTGGGGAGAAATTGCTGCTGCCACCTCCTAGCCCCATATCACTTCCATGGCAAGTGCACTCCTGCCAACAGATACCACAAGAGGCATCAACGATCCCAGCACTCTGGGAGGCCAAAGTAGGAGGACTGTAAATTCAAGTCCAGCCTGCACAATTTAGCAACTTGGTAAGACTCTGTCTCAAAATTTAAAAAGGTCTGGGGATGTAGCTCAGTGCAAAGGCTCTGGGTTCAATCCCTAGTACTATGAAAGGAAAGGAAAGGAAGATGGTTTCAGTGTAAGCATTCCATGAATTTGTAATGGCATTGAACCTGTGATGTCAAATCTGTTCCCAGACATTAGGGGCTGCTTTTTCTCTGTCTCCCTGTTCTCTTAGAATTTCCAGCATACTGCCAGGTATGGTGGTGCATGCCTATAATCTTAGCACCCAGGAGGTTGAGGCAAGAGGATCACCTCGAGTTCAAGGCCAGCCTGAGCTACTAGTGAGTTCAAGGACAGCCTAAACTACATAACTACATAGCGAGACCTTGTCTCAAAAAACAACAACAAAAAAAGATTTTCCAGCATACTAACTACAATGGATTTAGCATTTGTGTTTGCCCAAAATTCATATGGTCAAACTCTAATCCCATTGTGATGGTACTATAGGAGATGGGGCCTTCAGGAAGTAATTAGGTCATGAGAGTTAAACCCTCAAGAAGACAATATGAAACTTCTTATAGGAACTCCTTTGGTGGTGCATAATCCCAGTACTCAGCCTGGGCTACACAGTGAGTTAGTTCAAGGCCAGCCTGGACTACACAGTGAGACCCTATATTAAAAAAAAAAATCAAAAAACAAAAACCTCCAGATAAGACGTTTGAGAACTGGAAGAGGACAGGGTTTGGGCTGAGGTGTGAGCAATAATGAGCTCAATCTTGAATATGTGTAAGTTTAAAGTTCCCATTGATATAGGAGAAAGGTAACTCCCAACCTGATGTGTCAAGTTGTGTTCCCTGAAATCAAAGAATGAGTTCTAAGGAACAATAGAGGTTGAGACTGGGAAAGATAGGGGGAGAGAGAGAGAGAGAGAGAGAGAGAGAGCGAGAGAGAGAGAGAGAGAGAGAG